ATTACACATTTAATTGTTTATCGCTGTATTTATTTATTTAATTGTAGGTCAATCAGCCCCCACCTTTAGAGTGTCCCCACCAACTTTCATCACAAAGTTCCACCCTCGTTTAAACGTCTTCCTGCTGTGTTTGTCTCAGGTTCTTGCGTCTCAGTGCCTGACGGCGCTGTGTGCCAGCGCAGGAGGAGGCGACGGCTGCACGGTGGCCGAGCAGCCGGAGATCGACGTCCTGCTCAGCGCCCTGCTTTCCTCCTGCTTCTCTGTCAGAGATGCTGCTCTCAGGGTGAGCTTCGGGCACCACAGAAGAAGAATAAGTGTCGGATAATAAGCTTTATTATAGGAAACGTGTGATTCAGATTGTCTTGGACAGGCATGGCTTACAGAGCTTGGTCGCTTTGCGTTTGAACCCGTGATCTCTGTTGTCTGCAGGGGTTGTTGGAGATGGAGTTCGCTCTATCTACAGACAGCACCGAGAGCAGCGGGATGAGTTTGCTGCGCAGGCTTTGGGTTGCCAGGTTTGATGTTGAAGAGGAGGGACGAGCCTTGGCCGAGAGGTATAAAAAATATAAACTTTAATATCACACAGAATACTCAGGACGGTGCTGCACGCTCAACTCTGACACAAACTGCTCCTCCAGCTGTGCTTGTGCAGATATTAGCTCAGTCTGCACTCTACGCTCCACTCTGATGGTTCTTTCTAAGCAGCGTGGCTCTTCCTGCTCTCGCTACTTAATAAACTATATGTGGCTGATCATCCTCTGCCAACCGTAAAAAAATCTTTTTGTCTAACTTTCAAGATTTTATTTCTTCCAGCTCACAAGCCGTGATGCTAAACCTTTCATTTCTACCAGAAGGAATCCCTAAATTTTATCCAAAGCAAATATTTAATTGAAATAACTTTTAATCTCTGTTCGACCCGACCCTTCTAAAAATAATATATACACATTTTTCTGATGTCTTAATCGGGGTCATTGGGTGGGTGGCCCTAGCGCCCTCTGTTGACCAGCCGCCACTAAATCATACCGTTTGGTTTCTAGATGTCTGCCACTATAGATGCAGTATTTTGACTCTTCTGATTGGCCGGTTGGTTTCCTTAATTTACACGCATTTAAAAAGCCGTAAGCGCAGAGAGCCGAGCGAGCAAAGAAAAGGAGAGAAGTAAGAGCCCCGGTGGTGGAGCAGAGTTTGTCTGAGGGGAGCAAACGGCAGACAGGTTTTGAGAGAAAGGGTGTGAGTTCAAACGCCACATCAGTTGCTCAAAAGTTACGCCTTAATGATCAAATTCAGAGAATTGAGACAGGAAGGAGGATTTAAAGCTTTTGTATATTTAATTCCTGGTTGATCTCTTCATGTTCTTCTTGTTGGACGTTCAGTCCTGATAACATCCTGATCTCTGCTTTTCTTAATGCTCTTTTCTCCAGTCGAACCTCCTCTTGTTTTTACCGATGGCGTTCTGCTGCCTTCCCCACGTAGAAATGCTAATCCCTGCTTTGTTCCTCAGACTCTGGGAGTCTCTGGGTTTGGAGCTGGTCCCTGAGCTCTGCACGCTGCTGATCGGAGACATCACTCACCATGAGGAGGCCATCCGCTCAGCAGCAGCAGAGGCCCTCTCTAGCGCTGTGTCCCAGTACAGAGACCAGTCTGCCGCTGTGCTCGGTCAGCTCACTGAGCTCTACCATCAGAAACTTTATGTGAGTGTCTCCTTAGCGGCCGTCTTACCACTGGACGTAGAGCAGACGAAGTAAACGTTGTTTTTGTGTCTGCAGAGGCCGCCTCCTGTCCTGGACGCTCTGGGAAGAGTGATCTCAGAATCTCCGCCGGACCAGTGGGAGGCCAGGTGGGAGAGCTGCACACGCTTAGACGGTTTCCAGGAGTTTTCAGGTTTTCTGATGCTGCTGCTCCAGCTAACCGACCTCTCCCTGCTGGTTTCCCACAGGTGCGGCATTGCTCTGGCTCTCAACAAGCTGTCGCAGTACCTGGACGAATCTCAGGTCACGCCTCTCTTCCTGTTCTTTGTGCCTGATGCCCTGAACGACCGGCACGCCGAGGTGCGGCGCTGCATGCTGGATGCCGCCCTCTCAGCGCTCAACACGCATGGAAAGGTAGCTCCCACTTGTCTTCCTGTTTGGGCCGGCGTCGCCGTGCGGCGTACCGAGCTCGGTGCCTTATGTGTCTGTCCTCTGTGTCAGGATAACGTCAGCTCCCTGCTGCCGGTGTTCGAGGAGTTTCTGAAGAACGCCCCGCAGGACGCCAGCTACGACTCGGTTCGTCAGAGTGTCGTCATCCTCATGGGATCTCTGGCCAAACATCTGGATAAAAACGACCCGAAGGTCAAACCCATTGTGGCCAAGCTTATAACGGCGCTGTCTACGCCATCACAGCAGGTACAGCCTGTCCTTCACCCCAGCTCCGCTCTCCCTGGACCACAGCAGCTCTCTAAGCGTTGGTCTTCCCACCCAGGTCCAGGAGTCCGTGGCTGGCTGCCTGCCTCCTTTGGTCCCGGCTATCAAGGAGGATGCAGCAGGAATCGTCCGGAATCTGCTGCAGCTGCTGCTGGAGAGTGACAAGTATGCGGAGCGGAAAGGAGCGGCGTACGGCCTGGCTGGGCTGGTCAAAGGCCTGGGCATCCTGGCGCTCAAACAACAGGACATCATGACCACGCTGACAGACGCCATCCAGGACAAGAAGAACTTCAGACGAAGGGAAGGTCAGTGGCGGTGCGACCACGGCTCCATTTCCTGATTAGTGTGTTCAGGCGCTGAGGAGACGAAGCATCTCAGCAGCTCATCCTCCAGGTTTTTTATTTAGGTTGTGCTGGTTTACAGCCGGTGCTCCTGTAGCTTCCAGTGATTCACCAGTTCACAAACCCGGCCCACTAGACGGGCGGAACCAGAACCACTGGACAGGAAGCTTTTCTGGCATCACTGTAGCTAGCTGTAATGTAGTCGTCATGGAGACCAACTCCAGCAACCTGCTCTGTGAGCCTGATGGCCGTCAATTAGAACAGCCGGCCTTCGGGTGTCACATCATTTTAATTCCCCAGAGAAATAGAAGGAATGATTGGTTCCTCTAGAGCAGAGGTCGCGTATTAGCAGACCAGGGTCTGGATCCGGACATTTTTTCGGGAAGTCAGTATTAGTAACGATCACGTGATTGGGACGGTACAGGATTAAACATTAACGGGAGCGGGAGCAAACCGATAGTAACTAAAAAAAACTAGGATCGATGCCAAAAAAATAAAAATCCAGTACTGGCGCCGCCATTTTGTAGTTTTT